AAAAAAGAAAAGACTGAAGTAAAGGTACGTAGTGAGGCCTGAGTAATCAGACATCCTTAAATATAACTACTGTTATATATATTTCTTAAATGCAATTGAATACAAACTGTTTAAGTTCTGTTTGAGTTTCAACAATATTTTTGTGTCTTTCAACAGCAGAAGGCCCTCCTCACAATCACTAACACGTTCATGGTGCAACATGAAATAGATTTACATGTGCTACAATGAGAATATCAACGCACTGATGTTTATCCGATGTACTCTGTTCACCAGATTTACTGTATTAGCGTATGAATGTCTTCCTGTTAGCAACAAAGGCAGCTACAAAGTCATACCTGACATCCAAGTCACTGTGGATGAGACTTAATGGAAATGGACTGGCATTTAGTATAATGCTTTTCCAGTCTAATAGGAAAGTGCTCCCTGTGTAATAAGTATGTATAATTGAGTGTCATCTGCATAGCTCTGTGTGTGGCAATCGCAATGTGTACACGCTATCTGCCTTTAGCATAGAACAGGTGCAGATGACAGTGTGCTGCTAGCAAGATTAAGCAGCAGAAGAACCACCTGTAGACAGCCACCCTCTGCCTAAGCGAGAATACTGTTAGCCCAATGACTCTAATAAAGAGAAACTGAGCCACAGAAAATGCAAATGTCAAGTAACTCTGCCACACAATGTGCCTTGACTAAAAATAAGGAAGAACTGTCATTTAAGCAGAAAAAAACACCTTGCAGTAGGAAGTAAAAGCCAGATTATTATCATGAAGGGTGATGATATTAATGCCAGAGCCAACTCACATGCATCTCTGTCTTCTCTCCTCTGTTTGTCCCGCAGTCTGGGTGAGCTTGTGTTAGCTCTGTCTAAAAACCAAGAAAGAAACCGACTTTTGAAACAAACTTTTCTCTACTTTATCCCTGCTGTGAGTGAAATTTAAATTAATGCTTAAACAGCGGCACAAATACAAACTCTCACCTCGTGCTGTGTCTCTGCTCCTCACATCTTGAGTCCTGAGTCCTATACCTGAATAAAAAAAAAGTGACAATGTCAGGGAAATCCTTTGTACATTGTCAAATAAAGTTTAACAATCATCAGAGTACAGTACCAAGTCCTCGTTTGTCTGTACTTCGCCCTCCAATTGAGATCGTGGGTGTAGAAGCTGTAGAAAAAGAATGAAATTACAAATTATTTCAAATATTTATACAAGATTGGACGACAAGATGTAAATATGTAGTCATGGTAGACAAAATGTGGTCAGAAAAAACACCAAACATACCCTGTGGACGGGCGCTTGTGTTGCGGGCACTGAGACCAGAAAACACTAGAGAAAAAAGAAAATCGGTATCTTTCTACCAACATCATGCAAAATGTGAAAACGTTTATTTGGATTTAATAAGAAAATTCAAACCTTACATTTTAAAATCCCTCCTTTCTGTCCGCTTCGGTTGGCTAAATAAGATTAGAAGAAGTTCAATTAAAAAAAACAAAAAAAAACAAAAAACCACTAAACTTGAATGCATTAATAATTACGTTGGAACAATGCCTGGAACTTACAGTCTCCCAGAGCGAACAGTGTTGTGTCATTCACTTTAAAAGAACACAGATAATTACATTAAATGAGGTACAAAATAAGACAGAATAAGAACAAAAAGCCTCTTTGGACAAACCTTGTTTAGTGATCTTGCCCAGCTCCTGGTTGCATAGATCTTCCACTCGCTCCCTGAGACCCAGGATGGCATCTCGTACAGGCTCAAAGGAAGCCTCGTGATTGACTTTCACAGCTGGCAGATCCCCAGACTCAAGAGGACTGCACATAGACTCGTACGTCTGAGGAAACATGGCATAGTTAAAAAACAAAACAAAAATTATTTAATCAGGATATCAGGAGTCTTGAGATTCAGAAAAAAATGACTGTATATCCTCCTCTGTGGTCTTCCTCTTTTCCACCTGCCTCAAACTCTCCATTTAACATCCTTCAAAATTCAAAATATCCACTGTCGCCTTTGCACCTTAACCATGTCGCTCTAATTTTGTCTCCAAAATGCTCAATGTGAGCTATCCCTCTGATGTCACTCCCAACAAAAACCTTAGCGTTTTCACAGTGCAGTTGTCTCCAAAGGTTTCATTACCATCTAGTAAACTTTCCCTAACACTCTAGCTGCTATCCTTCTGTCATAAGTCGTGTAAAGAATAAGCAATCACTGCTGTGTCCATGACCAATATTTCCACTCAGTGACCTTCACAGCCCGGCCTACCTGCAGGTAGTAGATGTTGTCTTCGCAGCTTGCCAGGTCCTTCATCTCAGTGTCTCTTTTCTTCAGCTCCTTGATCTCAGCCTCCAGACTATCTGTAACTTCTTGTGCATGGCCCATCTTCTCCTGGTTGGCCTGATCCATCACCTCCTCCAGCAGCTCCTGAAGACGTTCCATGGAGCGCAGCAGCTCCGACAGCACCTGCTCCGCTTCATTGTGCACCACATCAGCAGAACGCTGCGCACACAAGGAAAACACAAAACTAAGTAAGGCCCCTCAACCACCATCATATTATTTAAACCCTGTAGAAAACCTGTTTTCCATTAAACCCCCCCCCCCAAAAAAAATTGTCTACCGCTGACCAACCTTCATCTGCTCCATCATCTTCTTCATGTCTTTCAGCTCCTGCTCTCTCTCTCTCAGCTTCTGTTGGGTCGCTGACTGCAGGTCCGACAGCAATTTCTGCAGAGACGCACGCCGTGACACGAGATCAGAGAAACAATCCCACAGACAAGGAAGCAGGTGTGTAGGTGGCACAGAAGACAACATGAGAGGGTGGAGCATTATGAGTGACTAGGCTAGGAATGTTGTTAGGAATGTCTTCAGCCTGGCTGGACCCGGCGTCGCACACAAAAGGAAATAACTGACTTCTTTCAAATAAACCTTTTATACACAATAAGGGACAGCACAGAGAAGGGCGGAGATGCTTTATTTATAAAATACTGACTGTAAACTTCCATTTACAAAATTATGGAGATTTTACCCAGCACCCAAACCAGTCATTTTAATTTCACTTTAGATCACCCTGGTAACTGTCTGACTCATTATGTAGCACCCACCCTCTGCTTACCTGCTTCTCCAGCCTTTCGACCTTGGTGGACACGCTCTCGTGGCCTTTGTGCTGGTTGCTGGTGCACAGCCAGCAGATGAACATCTTGCACTGTCGGCAGAAGAACTCCTGCAGGTATTTGTGCTGGGTGCAGATCTTTTCGGCCAGGTTGCCTGTCGGTGGGATGAGCTCGTGCTGCTTTAGGGATTTCTTTGTCTGGTGAGGCTTCAGATGGGCCTCGCAGTAGGAGCTCATACACACCAGGCAGCTCTTGACTGCAGCTCGTTTTTCATTTTTGCACATGTCACATGGTACGACCGAGGAGGAAAGCTTCTCTTTGGCGAGTCGCATGGATTCACGCACTTCAGATTTGAGGGCTCCTTTGCGGAGCTGCTCCACAGCCTCTGCCAGCATGGTGTTCCTGGACAGGGAGGGCTTGGGGCAGAAGGTCTGACGGCACTGAGGGCAGCTGTAGATCCCTTTGGGGTCATCTTTAGTCCAGTAGTCCTTAATGCAGGCCATGCAGTAGCTGTGACCGCAAGGGATGGTGACAGGATCATTTGGCAGATCCAGACACACGGGGCAGTTAAACTGCTCCTCTGTCCACAGCTTTGCACTCATAATGCTGCTAATGAAAAAGAAAAAAAGAAAGAGTCAAGATGGTTAGCAAGTCAGACTTTTAGACAAAGAATGGAAGAACAAGCTCCAGAGATTCAGAAGGTAGTGTGAAGCCTGGGTTCACAGGAGGAAAGTGTCTGCCGCTCTCAGGTGAGCTGGGCGGGACAAGAGCCACCAGGCCGGTCTAGCGGGGAGAACGGGTGTCGGTGGAAAACTGTGGAATGCCAGGAAACCAAAGGTGTGAGTGGACAAATCAGTACATCACAAAGTATGGCACAGATATTCGGGCTCTTTATGAAAGTAAATATTACTACATGTAGTAGCAAAATCTACTTGAGTAGATTATTCCTTTATTATCAGGACAATTTAACATTATTAGATTGTAACACTGAGGTATTAAACTCTAAGCAGCATATTACTCTTATTTAATTCTAGTCTTTTCAGTCAAGTAGTACATGACCTTGCGCTTAAGTCCCCCTATACGGCCACAAGATAAATGAGATGATTATTGGTATAGAAGAATTGAAAAATTCAGTCCTTTGTGGTAAACATTAGAATAGATGTGGTTACAATATAGAAAAAAACTGACCTATCATCAGACAAATCAACAAAACCTCTGCCACAGAAATACAGAGAAATGCAGCAACTGTGTGATGCTATCATGTCAACAGGGACCAAAATGTCTGGAGGATTTCCAGAGTTGATGAGCCGTACCATGTATTACCAGACTTTCCAGCCCCTGGATGGATCTATGTCATGGTCTATTAAGGCAATTCTGAAGACAAATGGAGGGCCCAACCTGGTGCAACCAATAAAGTTGCCAGTGAGTGTACATACAGTTAGAATGTTAGATGTAGAAGTTTGTTTTAAAAGAAAATGAATTAAAACATCTTATAAAATGAA